AGAACCCTCAACCTTGGTGTATAGGGATGACACTATAACCAACTGAGTTACTCAGCGAGGGTATTTGTCATATATTTTATGTTTTTGCAGCACAGTGATAATTATATATCATGAAAATGACTTATGGTAAAACTTACATATCGAAATTATATATTTATTTACTTTTTTATCCTCACCCAAGGACATTTTTCCATTATTTTTTATTCAGATAGAGTGGGAGGGAGAGAGGAAGAGAGAGAGAGAGAAACATTGACATGAAAGGGACACATCGAGTGGCTGCCATCTGCAAGACCAACCAGGGCTGGGAACAAACTGCAACCGAGGTACATGCCCTTAGCGGAAACCGAACCTGGATCTCTCTGGACCGCAGGCTGACGCTCTAAACGCTGAGCCAAACCGGCCAGGGCCGAGGTATGTGCCCTTAGCGGGAACCGAACCCGGGTCTCTCTGGACCACAGGCCGATGCTCTAACCACTGAGCAACTGGCCAGGGCTCGAAATTATTAATTCATGGACTGGTTTTGCTTCTGTTTTCTATTTTGTTAGATTTAGGTTAGTGCAAGATTTGACTACATTTGTCTTCTAGGTAAATATGAAAGCATTTACTTATTAAAAACATGTAGCCCTGGCCAGTTTGGCTCAGCAGTTAGAGTGTCGGCCTGCGGTCCGGAGAGACCCGGGTTCGGTTCCCGCTAAGGGCATGTACTTCGGTTGCAGTTTGTCCCCGGCCCTGGTTGGTCGTGCGGGTGGCAGCCACTTGATGTGTCCCTTCACATCGATGTTTCTCTCTCTCTCTCCCTTCCTCTCTCTCCCTCCCATTCTATCTGTACAAAAAATGGAAAAATACCCTCGGGTGAGGATTAAAAAACATGTAAAAAATAGCCCTGGCCGGTTTTGCTCAGTGGTTAGAGCGTCGGCCTGCAGTCCAGAGAGACCCCGGTTCAGTTCACGCTAAGGGTATGTGCTTAGGTTGCAGTTTGTCCCTGGCCCCAGTTTGGGTTGTGTAGAGGCAGCCACTCAATGTGTCTCTCTCACATTGATGTTTCTCTCTCTCTCTCTCTTCCTCTCTCTCCCTCCCACTCTAGCTGCACAAAAATGGAAAAGTGTCCTCGGGTGAGAATAGAAAAAACATTTTATATCTATCTATCTATCTATCTATCTATCTATCTATCTATATGTAATAGTCCCATTATTTTTCCTATAAATTCCAATTAAGGCAATTATATAGATTCTTTTAAATTATGTGTGTAGGTTAAGTCATATTATCTATATGTTAATTTCAGGATGGTAAAAAGCATTATTAGAAAATATTTGTTATGCCCTGGCTGGTTTGGCTCAGCAGTTAGAGTGTCGGCCCTCGGATCAAAGAGTCACAGGTTCGATTTCAGCCAAGGGCACATACCTCTATTGCGGTCCATCCTTGGCCCTGGTTGGGGTCGTGCGGGAGGCAACCAGTCCATGTTTCTCTCTTACATTGATGTTTCTCAATCTCCCACTCTATCTGAAGATAAATGGAAAAATACTCTTGGGTGAGGAAAGAGAGAGCGAGAGAGAGAGAGAGAGAGAGAGAAGGGAAGGAAGGAAGGAAGGAAGGAAGGAAGGAAGGAAGGAAGGAAGGAAGGAAGGAAGGAAGGAAGGAAGGAAGGAAATACTTGTTATGGAAAGGGGGTGCTAGGGTTGTTGGGCTGAGAGCTCTAGGACTGGGAGAGTAGAGCTCAGGGACAGAGGCGGAGTCGCCCCACCCCCTAGCTGAAATCAACCATTCTTGGCCAACTTGGGAGTTCTGGATTTTGTTTTGTTATGGAAGCGGTATCCCTTGACTGATACTTTGGGAGGACTCGGATCTAGAAATTTGCCATGTAGCCAGTACTTCAGAAGCAAACTTGGTCTTCACCTTGGACAGGTAGAAAGAACCCTCTGTAAAAATAAGGAATGCTTTTAAAACAATACAAAGCCAACACTGCAGCTTTTGAACACAACCAGCACCTAGCATAGATAGCATTTGGCACAGCAGAGGCACTCTTTAAATGTGTGGTGTGTATCACATGATTCTGGATATGCATTCTGTTTTTGTCACTGGGCAGCCAAACAACTTGGGCAATTTAATAACCTTTCAGAAGCTTAGGTCCCTCATCTTTAAAATGGGGAAAATAACAGTATCCACCATGTGAAAATGAAATGAGACTGAGGTAAGGGTCTAACACACACAAAGTAGCGTAGAATAAGTACTCAGTAAACATTAGCTCTTATTATAACCAACTTTATTTAGAAAATAAAATATATTGCCCTGTCCGGTTTGGCTCAGTGGTTGGAGCGCCGGCCTGCGGACCAGAGAGTCTCAGGTTCGGTTCCCACTAGGGGCATATACCAAAAAAGAAAAGAAAATATAAAAGTTCAAGGACAAATCACATTGTGAGAGAAAATTGTAAGATGAGGTGGTATCAGCCCTGGAGGGGTGGCTCTGTTGGTTAGAGCATCAATATGCCAAGGCTGCAGGTTTGATCTCTAGTCAGGGCACATGCAAGAAGTAACCAATGAATGCATAAATAAGTGGAACAACAAATTGATGTTTCTCTCTCTCTCTCTCTCTCTCATGCTCTCTCTCTCTGTCTCTAAAAATCAATTAAAAAAAAAGATGTGGCATCAACTCTGGAAGATTTTTAAACTAAAGGAATAAAAGAAGAAATAAGCCTGGCCAGTGTGGCTGAGTGGTTGAGCATTGACCCATGCACCAAGAGGTCCCAGTTCGATTCCAGGTCAAGGCACATGCTTGGGTTGCAGGCTTGATCCTCCCTGTGGGGGTATGTACAGGAGGCAGCCAATCGATGTTGATGTTCTCTCCCTTTTCCTCCCTCTCTCTAAAATCAATTAAAAAATATTAAAAAGTAAAAATGTCTGCTTTATATAAAAAAGAACGAATTGCCCTGGCCGGTTTGGCTCAGCGGTTAGAGCGTAGGCTTGCGGTCCAAAGAGACCCGGGTTCGGTTTCCGCTAAGGGCATGTACTTCGGTTGCAGTTTGTCCCCAGCCCTGGTTGTGTCATGCGGGTGGCAGCCACTCGATGTGTTCCTTTCACATCGATGTTTCCCTCTCTCTCTTCCTCTCTCCCTCCCCCTCTATCTAAATAAAAAATGGAAAAATATCTTCGGGTGAGGATAAAATAATAATAATAATAATAATAATAATAATAATAATAAAAAGAAAGAATTGCCCTGGCCGGTTTGGCTCAGCGGTTAGAGCGTCGGCCTGCGGTCCTGAGAGACCCGGGTTCGGTTCCCGCTAAGGGCGCGTACCTCGGTTGCAGTTTGTCCCCGGCCCTGGTCGGTTGTGCGGGTGGCAGCCACTCGATGTGTTCCTTTCACATCGATGTTTCTCTCTCTCTCTGTTCCTCTTTCTCCCTCCCACTCTACCTGATCAAAAAATGGAAAAATGTCCTCGGGTGAGGATAAAAAAAAAAAAGAAAGAATTAAGAGCCTCACAAACACTGTTTCTGCAGAGTGAAACAGGGAGGGGAGGGGGCCCTAAGCCCAACAGAGCAGACAGGGGCAAGTATAATATGTGCTTAATAAATACTTGTGGAATGAATGAACTAGAGGGAAGTAAGGTATAGGTATCACTTGTCCTCCTCCCAAGAAAGAGCCCTGCACAACATTTCACGGAAAAACAGGAAGTCTGGATGTGACAGATACTGACATAGTAATGACGGTTCAGTTCAGTTCAACAATTTGGTACCTACCCACTCTGTGTCAGGACATACACATAGAATGAGTAAGCCCTGGACAGTTTGGCTCAGCGGTAGAGCCTCGGCCTGTGGACCAATGAGTCACGAGTTTGATTCCAGCAAAGGGCATGTACCTCGGTTGCGGTTTGTCCCTGGCCCTGGTCAGGGTCCTATAGGAGGCAACCAGTCTATATGTCCCTCTCACATTGGTTTCTCTCTCTCTTTTGCCCCCTCTTTCCCTCCTGCTCTATCTGAAGATAAATGCAAAAATGTCCTGGGGTGAGGATAATAAAAACAAAACAACAACAACATAAATAAATAAACAAACAAACAAACAAACAAATAAATAAATAAAAAAGACACAACAAACAAGCAGTTGCTGAGCACCTTCTATGTGCCAGGCTTGTGCTTTCTTTTACTGATTCCAGTAATAACCCTGAAAGGTTGTGGGGTGGCCTCCATTTTACCGGTTAGAAAATAGGCTCGGAGTGCTGGAGTCAGTCAGGTCATATCTGCGTGTCACTTCCACTAAATCATTTGTGATGGGGTCCATGTGTGATGTGACTGCAACATCACGGACAACCCCCTTCTCACATCCGCTGAGGATATCGCCTGTTCAGCACTTTCCAGTTTCTGAACTACTTTACACAACCTCCCCGTCCTGTGAGAAAGGAAAAGCAGTTCCTACAACTGGTACCTGGTGATGAAACAAAGGAGGCCTGGAGAGGCAGGGTTAAGGACTCCCTCCCTTTAATCATGCCATTCCTCTGCCCAGGGCCCACCCTCCCTGAGCTTCCCTGCCCTTTCTCCTCCTGAAGCCTTCCAGGACAGCTCCTCACCCTGGAGTGCCCCTCCTCGTATACTTGTTCCCGGTTCGTCCTTATCTGTAACTATGTGTAAGTGTCTGACTCCCCTACTTCACAAGCCTCTATAAGACAAAGACTGTCTTAATCTCAGTATTTTGCCTCCACTATTTTGCACAGTGAACCTCTTTTATTAGTATCAACTTTATTAGTATTACTTTAACATTTTTTTTCTCAAGAAAGCAATGTTCCTACTGTGGTTCTCATCTTCTGAGATTCGGGAGCCTCTACTCAATCCTCCACTCAGATCTTTGCTCTAGATGCTTCCTGAAGTCGTCATCCACACATGCCTTCCAGAATTTCACAGGGTGTATAATCACCAACAGCCGGAGGAAGCCAGTCGCCCTTTACAAGTATGGTTGCAGTTGCCTCACTTCCTGTATCATGTGACTCTCCCGTAGTCATCACATGACCCATCCACTCTATTATGCCGGAATTAACCCACAAGGCTAATCTTGTGTCTGTAGCTATCCAAGTACCAGCATCCCTATTTTTATTTAGTGGACACTCTGTCCCCTCCGGGGCTTGAGAACCCTGCAGTCTTCTCATCTGGTGATGGAGCTTTCAAGTCCTTCCAGAGAGGTGAGTGGGCCAGGGCTCACTGTCTGCTTCTGGAATCCTGGCCATCCAGGTTCTGGAATGCAATGAATGACAGACTCTCCTCGACCTCAGGCCATCATGGCATTTTATGGACAGGTTGACGGAGAAATGGGTGAAAAGGGGAGGAAGAGGGTCCCGGTTGGGGTGGGCAGAAACTTACAGAGGGGTTGGAGGGAGGGCTCTCACTAGCAGAGGGTCTATTTCATCCCTGTTAAAGGGGGCAGGCCAGCCCGGCTGGTGTGGCTCACTGGTTGAGCATCGACCCATGCACCATGAGGTCGCCAGTTGGATTCCCGGTCAGGGCACATGCCCAGGTTGTGGGCCTGATCCCCAGTGGGTGGGCATGGAGAAGGCAGCTAATTGATGTTCTCTCTTATGGATGTTTTTATCTCTCTCCCTTTCTCTCTCTAAAATCAATACAGAAAAAACATTTTTTTAAATAAAAAATAAAAAAGCCCTGGTCGGTTTGGCTCAGCTGTTAGAGCGGCAACCTGCGGTCCAGAGAGACCCGGGTTCAGTTCCCGCTAAGGGCACATACCTCGGTTGCAGTTTGTCTCCGGCCCTGGTTGGGTCGTGTGGTAGGCAGCCACTTGATGTGTCCCTTTCACATCGATGATTCTCTCTCTCTCTCTTCCTTCCACTCTATCTGAACAAAAAATGGAAAAATGTCCTTGGGTGAGGATAAATAAATAAATAAATAAATAAATAAAGGGAGATTAGGCTGTGGGTGCCCCTAGGTAGCCAAGCGGTGCCCAGGAGACTAGTTGAGGGGTGAAGAGGGGGCTTGCCTCCCAGCCACTCTTCATTCTGTTCTCAGGAACATCCCAAGGCCCTGGACAGAGTAAGCTTCATAGCTGCCAGACTCACAGGATTGCTTCTACTTCAGGCAGTTTCTTGGGCATCAGGTGAGTAAGTCAAGAAGGAGGGAGGTAGCCCCAAGGCTCCTTCTGCCTTATGGTCCTTTGGTAGTTTTCTGGCTAACCGGTGGTGGACTTCAATAGGTGCTTAACAAATGCTTTTGAGTGACTGAAACCTACCTTAAGGTGGGGTACAGCGAGAGGATTTTAGAAACCAGTGTTCAGTCTCTCCTGACCAGTGTGCCTTCTCCCAGCTTCATCCTTCAGTCCTTGCCTCTCCCTCCCTCCCAGGTGCCCACCCCTGCAGCCCTAAAAGCTTTGGCTACAGCTCAGTGGTCTGTGTCTGCAATGCCACGTACTGTGACTCTCTTGATCCCCTGACCTTGCCTGCCCCTGGCACCTTCACACGCTACGAGAGCACACGCAGCGGGCGCCGAATGGAGCTGAGTCTGGGGACCATCCAAGCCAATCGAACGGGCACAGGTAACCATCTCACCCTTCACCACAGAGCCAGGCTGGGATCCTCCTGCTGCTGATTCATGCTGACCACACGGGGTTTCTTCCCTGTGCACTGACACCCTTGATTCCCTGCATATATTCTCAGGGCTGTTACTGACCCTGCAGCCGGATCAGAAGTTCCAGAAAGTGAAGGGATTTGGAGGGGCTATGACAGATGCTGCTGCTCTCAATATCCTTGCCCTGTCACCCCCTGCCCGGAATTTGCTACTCAAATCCTACTTCTCTGAAGAAGGTGAGGAGGAGGGGGACAAGATGACATAGTGCAACTGACCTTGACATTTCCTTTGACTCTGACTTCCATCCATCCCTGACATTTGGGTCTTCTCTTAATGCCCAAATAAATAAGATTGTCCTACTTATCTTCCACTGAGTGCTTGGGGAGTCTCAAGCTCAGAAGACTGTATTTCACTTAGGTGCCTGGTTCCACAGGCCCTAACCCAGGAGTCCAGACATGATTTACGACTGGCAAGTGATAGACCAGAACCCACATTCTCCTATTGATCCAGACTCCCAGATCTCCATCTTTTTCTGCAGGAATTGAATACAACATCATTCGGGTACCCATGGCCAGCTGTGACTTCTCCATCCGCACCTACACTTATGCTGACACTCCTGATGACTTCCAGTTGCACAACTTCAGCCTCCCAGAGGAAGATGTCAAGCTCAAGGTGGGCACTCTGGCTTCCTCAGGCCCTGGTAACATTGATGCCTGCGATTTGAAAAGCCTTAGGCTAGAGAAGTCTACAGAGAGATAGAACATGGCCCCTGTTCTCTCTGTTTTGCCCTGGGGGTGGGAGGGCGGGGGCTGATGACTAGGCCTGATGCACTGGTTGGGCCAGTCTGTCTGTGTCCTAACTCTGGTTGTCTCTCTCCTCACTACCTTTGTTTCTAGATACCCCTGATTCACCAATCCCTAGAGATGGCCCAGCGCCCTGTCTCACTCTTCGCCAGTCCCTGGACATCACCCACTTGGCTCAAGACCAATGGGGCAGTGAATGGGAGGGGGTCGCTCAAGGGTCAGCCGGGGGACATCTACCATCAGACTTGGGCCAGATACTTTGTCAAGTAAGGGAGCAGCAGGCCATGGAGTCTGGAGCAGCCTCGTCTATGTCCCAATTTGGTTTCACCTCTAGATATGACTCTTCTCATCTTACCTTCCTACCTTCTGGGCCTTTCAGGCTTGGGACCCCGGTTTTCCCCTCCTCATTGGGCCTTCTATTCCTCAAGGTCTTGGTCCCCTTTCTTGGTCATAGTCACACATACCCTTCCCCTGCCAGGTTTCTGGATGCCTATGCTGAGCACAAGTTACGTTTCTGGGCAGTGACAGCTGAGAACGAGCCTTCTGCAGGGCTACTTAGTGGATACCCCTTCCAGTGCCTGGGCTTCACCCCTGAACACCAGCGAGACTTCATTGCCCGTGACCTGGGTCCCACCCTGGCCAACAGTACACACCGCAATGTCCGTCTGCTCATGCTGGATGACCAACGCTTGCTACTGCCCCGCTGGGCCCAGGTGGTAAGGCCCAGGCGCTCCATGGGTACCCTGGTGACTCTCAAATCCAGAATCCAAATGACTGGCTCCCAAGCAGAGTGCCTTCCCTGCTCCAACTCTTGATTCTTAGAGCACCCTGGGCTGGAGCCAGGTGCCCAGGCGGCACCTCTGAGTTCTGGGGTGGTAGTGACCCTCTCTGGATCTACAGGGTCCCATGGAGCCCCATGATTGTTACAACCCCTTCTAGTGGTATTAATCTCACTGCCCATTTCTCTGGTCCCCTAGTGCCTCTTCCAGAACCCTCCATACAGGGGCCAGGTTCAGTGGCTCCCTTTTCCCAGTAGTCCTTCCCTTTCCCCGTACAGGTGCTGGCGGACCCAGAGGCAGCTAAGTATGTTCATGGCATTGCTGTCCATTGGTACCTGGACTTTCTGGCTCCAGCAAAAGCCACCCTGGGAGAAACACATCGCCTGTTCCCTGACACCATGCTCTTTGCCTCAGAGGCCTGTGTGGGCTCCAAGTTCTGGGAGCAGAGTGTGCGGCTAGGCTCCTGGGATCGAGGGATGCAGTATAGCCACAGCATCATCACGGTGAGCCGCCCGTCTCCCTTTGCATGAAGCAAGCCACCTGACCGCTTCCTTCCTCGTCTCACCAAAGACTGATGCTAGGCTCTCCTCTCCAACTTTTTCCCAGCTTGCTCTTTGGGGCACATTTTAGGATATCATGATTCCCTGTCTTGCCTTCCCTTCACAGATTTGTACACTCCGCCACCCTTTTCCAAATGCTTGTGTCTCAAGCAGTTAGAGCTGCCTCAGATGTATCAGCTTGTCTTGTGATGTCTTCATCCTTACGTCTCTCTCCTTAGATGTTAAGGATATAGAGCCCTCCTTTCACAGGGCTGAGGCACTGTAGCCCATCTACCTCATTAACTACATTATCTGGGGACGCAGTGTGGAGCCTTTGCCTCTCTGTCCCGTTCCTATCCTAGAACCTCCTCTACCATGTGGTTGGCTGGACTGACTGGAACCTTGCCCTGAACCCTGAAGGGGGACCCAACTGGGTGCGCAACTTTGTTGACAGTCCCATCATTGTGGACATCGCCAAGGACACGTTTTATAAACAGCCCATGTTCTACCACCTTGGTCACTTTAGGTGAGTTGTGGGCGGGCACCCCCACCCCACACCAGGCCTGGTATCTCCTACACTGGGCTTACATCACCCCACATGAGGAGCAGGAAGGTGTTTAGGGTGGGAACCTTGGGAGAGGCACACCTATCCCTCTTGCACCATCTGGGCAGGAAGTGACTTGATGGCATCATAGACAACCCCTGACTGCTGATGCTGGAGCTGGGAGGCAGGAAGGCAGGGTATGCCAGCAGCATGGCTCAGGACCTAGAGAATTAGGGCGGAGCCTTGGCAAGGGTAGGAGGGGATAATTTCTTGGGTTACAAATTGATGGGAGCTATCCTCAGGGCCAGAGGGGCTGGGCTGGGATCCCTGACAATGCCTGTTCCCACTTCAGCAAGTTCATTCCCGAGGGCTCCCAGAGAGTGGGGCTAGCTGCTAGTGAGAAGAACGACTTGGACGCAGTGGCACTGATGCATCCCGATGGCTCTGCAGTTGTGGTGGTGCTAAACCGGTAAGAGCAGCAGCGGGGCCGGGGAACTGGGCTGACAGAATGGTGGGTTTGGCAGGATCACACATTCAGCTTCTTCCCCACCCCCATCCCCAGATCCTCTAAGGATGTGCCTTTCACCATCAAGGATCCGGCTGTGGGCTTCCTGGAGACTATCTCACCTGCCTACTCCATTCATACCTATTTGTGGCGTCGCCAGTGATGGAGCAGATACCCAAGCAGATACCTGGGCTCAACATGGGCATTAAAGGGACAGACTCAGCTCACATGCTGTCTGTGGCTAAAGAGGGTACAGCAGGGCTGGGGTGAGCTCAAGTGACGTAAGCCCAGGAGCAGTGGTTTGGGTAACTCACTCTTCCCTCTAGCTGGTGCCAGAGGCTGAAGGTCCCTCAAGAAAGGATTGGGAAGCCCTAGTGCCCCTCCCCCCCCCAAGCTTGTGTGAGTGTTGTCTGTGCTGGTTGCCTATGGAAACTGGGCCCAGGCCCAGGGTGAGCTTACTATCTGTACAAACACAAGATTGGGGTAGGGGGAGGGTAAGAAAAGGAAGAGACTAGAAAGGACCCAGAACTGAGGACTGTTTGTCTTTTCTGGAGATGTAGAACTAAGCCCTTGAGAAGCGATGTCAGCATCAGGACACAGGCAGCTAAGAAGCCAAGCACCAATGAGAGGACTAAGTCACCCAGATGGCCTCTTGGCACCAGCAGGAAAATCAGTGGCCCCTTAAAGGAGAGAATGTCTGACCCCAGTTAGTGCGAACAGGTTTATTCTTGGGGGGACACCCCATTTCTGGCTGTAATGACAACAGGGAGACACAGGGACCTCTGGAATGCATGATAGTAGAAAAATCAGTCCTGGGAACATCAGGACAAATCATTCCTCTTCATCCTCCTCAGCCATGGTCAGAGCCCTTGTGCCTGGGGTCCGGGCAGGTGTTGCTCGCTGGATAGAGACAATGCCACTGAGCAAGGCATAGCCCACCATGGCTGCCAGCCCCGCCAACACAGACAGGATCTGGTTCCGGCGCCGGTAAGGCTCCTCCTCAGTCTCTGGGCCCGCTGGTGTCTGGCGTGGAGGTGGTACCTCAGCTGAGGGATAAGGAAGGAAGGTGGGCAGGGGCACTAGTTCCTGGATCCCTGCCCACTTTCCCCAGGGCCAGCGCCCACCTTGCATCCATCTGCCCCTTACCTCCATCCCAGGGGAAGTAGAGGCTGAGGATGTGGGTGCAGTAGGCACAAAGGTTATGCAGCCCTCGTAGGTGGGCCTGCAGTTTCCCACTGGGCAGCTTTACCTGCAGCAGCAGGGCCAGGTAGCTAAAGACAAAGGCGTCCAGGGAAGCAGGGCTGATGCAGAGAGAGAGGGGTGTGATGGAGGAAGACCACTTTGGCAGAGGGGGTAGAAATGGAGTCAGGAAGAGTTGGCTCTGGGAGGTGGTTTCTGGACAGCAGGGTCCACCAGGGTAGGAGAGGACACACCTTTCTGGGCCTTATGTAGGGAGGGCCCCTAGGTGGCGCCAGCCTGGCCTTAAATGGGACTCTATCCCAGGACTGCATAAAGGGCACATTGAGTGCCCCACAGCCCTACAGGCCCCTCCTGTGCCTGGCGGCCCTCCCACCCTCCTGTACCACTGGGGCGACTCCAGCCCCACACACAGCCCCACTGTCACCAGACCCAGTATCTGTCCTTAGGACCTCTTGTCAAGAACTGAGCCCACCCCAGCCCCTGCATCTGAACTTGCATCTTCTTCCAAGCCACCCCTTATTCCCCTGGAGTCAGACTCACGCATCTCCAAAGAAGAATTTCTGAGAGCCCAGGCGCTGAGAGAGGAGGGTCAGGCATTCCCGAGCCTCTTGGTACAGCTACAGGGAGGACACAGATAGGCTTGCGGCTGTGGGCCCTGTGCCACCTCCCCTCCTAGGCACTCCCGCTCCTGGCCATCAGCCTTGGGGCTTCTCTCATACAATAGCTCCCTATCCCAGAGGTACCTCCTTCTCCAGTTCTTCCTCATTCTCAGGCCTACGCTCCCCACACAGCAGCTGTAGCCGTTCCATGTGCTGCCGCTGCATGCGGCCAGGTAGGAAGAAGTTGAGGGGAAAGGGCATAGCCTCTGCATACCACTTCCGGGTCACTTCCACATAGTTCTTGGTGTCTATCCAAAATGTATGTATCTGAATTGGGTATACAGAAAGGAAGAGGTAGGTCTGAGCCAGTGCACCTGCCTGACTCAGGGTGGACTTCTTATCCCCATGCTGCTCCAAGGCTGGGGGGTAGGGGTGAGGTGTAGGGTGTGTATGTCCATGGCCCCCTCTCCCACCGGCCATAAACACAGGGAGGTCTGGGCACACTCACCAGCACTGGGAGCAGCTTCTCTTCCAGCAGAGACATGAAGGCCAAGGTGTCTGCCCCTTGTCGGGCAGACAGATCATAATCAGCATTGTACTTCTGTGGAGGAAATGTCCACCATGAGGTGGATGGCTGGGGGACTCCAGGGTACTTCCCAGGGGCATCCTGTCTGGTACCACCCTCACTGGCCTCTGAGTGTAGCAGAGGTAGAGTAAGGAGTTTTTACCGCTGAGGCCCCACGGCCTGGGCACAGCCAGTAGCCTGTTGCTGTTGGCGGACAGCCTGGGCCTTGGAGCCTGCTGGCCGTCAAGATCCTGTGCCCACTGGAGGAGGAAAGAAGGCCCAGCCGCAAACCAGGAGTAGCTCCCAGAGTTTCCACGGAAAGGTGGCAACATGCCTGCTGACAGCAACTTTCTAACAGTAAATTCTCCAATTCATGCACCACAAAGCTAGCAGACTGGAGCTCAGAGGCAGGTTGTGCCTCCATCTATGCCTCAGGAACTAGGGAATGCCATCCTCATGCTCCTGGGACCCAGTGAACCCATGCCCAGGTCTTCCTGGCTTGTTCTCTCAATGTCCAGCTCTTGGCTATTTCCTCTATTTCATTCCATGGCCCAGGCGCCACCACTCCCACCACACATACATTCCAACCGTACCCCCAGGTCTCAGGCTGCCTCATCTTCCTAGCCTCCAGTGTCTGTTGCTTAGCAACCCCCTCCACATCCTGAGTAAGCTTTGTCCTCAAATAACCTCTTGAGCATGATCCTAAAATCTTTGAGCCTCATTTTCTCCCCTGTAGAATGGGGATACTAATCTCTTTCACTCAATGTGGCTATGTTAGGAAAAAAGTCTGGAAACTGAAAGTTGTGCTCATACATAAGGAAACATGGCAGTGGCCCAGTCCCTGCCAGGAACTTTGGCTTTTACCTGGATTCCCTCTCTCCATGCCTCTCAAACCTCCGTTAATCCCCCAGCTCCTTAATCTTTGGGAAAGTAGAAGTGAAGAAGATGGTCCCACCTCTGACAATGTATTCCCTTTTGGAATTAAGACCATGAAAGCTGGAAGAACCCTTGGAAAGCATACTGGCTCAGCCCCCTGGTTTTACAAATAAGCTTAGGGCTCTGAGACATTCAGCAACTTGCCAAAGGTCACATGGTCAAGGAGAGAGCAAAGAGCATAGCCTAGGCCTCCCCATTCTTCTTGCAATGCTCTTCCAACTTCCCCGCCCTGGCTCTAAACCTTGTCCATATCCCACCTCTTCTGGTCCCTGAAAAAAGGGCGACCTCTGGTCCCACTTTTGAGAGTCTCATCTGAGCCAACTGCTCTCTTCTACTCTCCTTTCCCTTCCTAGTGTTATCAACCTGTTCATCTCTCCCTCTCCGCTCAGCAGGCAGAAGGCACTGTGCCTCCAGATGCCCTCAGTGCCCCAGCTTAATCTCTGGCCTGCCACTTACTATGTCATACCAACAATGTGTGCCCCCTCCATCACACTGTGTTCCTTGAGACTCTGGGTCACTAGCATCTAGCTTGGCATATACTTGGTGTTCAATAAATGTGTGTTGCACTAAATTTACTGAACTTTTCTTACTAGCCAAGTTACCTACCTCTTTTCGAAGGTGGGTGATGATCTTGTGTGGTACCGAGATGACCTCTCCATGACTGGTCCGAAGGGCAGGCAAAGTTCCTGACATTGAGAAAGAAGTACGCCCGCCAGACCCTTAGCTATCTATTAATACATATTTGGACTGCATTCCTATCTGTCCCCTGCTTCTCCCTGTACATTCCCTTCGTCACCTCCAACCCCCCCCACCCCGGGACACTGGGTACCTGAAGGACTCCGCCAGGGGTTGGTGATCTTGTGCACCTTGAGTGGAGCACCAGTAAATCTGGTATAGGTCTGCAGGGAAGGAAGCAGAAGGCAGAGTGGCCAGGCACATGGCCCCCACAGGGGAATCAAGAAGAGAAATAATATTTATTGGGTATCTTTTGTGCTATGATCTATGCTTAGTATTTGACATACACACACACACACACACACACACACAGGTGAACATTACTATGCCCACTTTACAATGAGCAACAGGGCTGAGATAATGGATATATCCATGATTACAAGTCAGCTAGAAAAATCCTTCCATCTCCTTTCCTACCATCTACCTGGCGAACACTTATCCTAAGAAGTTTTTTCTAACCAGAATATCCCTTTTCTTTGAAAAATGATTATGCCCTTTTTTGGCAGTCTCTGTGGCCTATTCCTACTTAAGCCTTAGCACCTGAACATTTTATTACATTTTTTGCATTATTACATTATTTGCTGACGTGTCTGCCTTTCTGTAAACACCACCAAGGGAGGAACCAAGTCTTATTTATTTTTGCCACTGTTTCTTATTTGGAAGAGGCCTAATACATACTTATTAAATGAAGGAGTGAATGAATGAAATGAACTAGTCTGACTCCAAAGCTCTTTCTACAGAGCCTGGCTGTGGGCCTTTTGGCTCAATAAACAATAAGCTCAGCAAATGCTACTTAGTGAGGAGAAGTAGGAAGAAAGAGAGGATGAGGAGAAGGTAGGAATGCCAAGCCTAAGAACCCTGAGATTGTTCGGCTTTAGTAAAGATCAGTATGAAGAAACAGCACCCAGAGAGAAGGGATTGCCCCAAGGTCACACAGCCAGCAAATGGATAAGCAAGGGCTAAAATCCATTTTCTGAACCCCCGACCAGGCCTCTTTTTATGGCTACACAAAACCTAGGCAGCTAAGGCATAGAGCACCGAGCCCACATCGGCCTGATAGGTTCTTTGATTGCCTCGGTTTCTCCCACTTCGCCCGTGCTGAGGCACCCTGGCAAAATTCGGATGAACGGCTACTTAGGCCCCCCTCCCTAGTCCTCCAGGGCGCAGCAGAGGGCGCCGGCACCACCCCTCACCACTACCGCCAGGCTGTCCAGGTCCACTGACGGCAGCCCCCAGCCCCCCGACCAGCAGAACAGCTCCATGGACGCCGCCATCTTGCCCGCCCTCTGTCCCGGAAGCACCTCCCTCCGCGCCTCCGCCTGCCCCAGCGCGGGCCCGCCCCCGGCCGCGCTACAGGGGTCGCAGGAGGCGGAGGGCTGAGGGAGGCTCCCGGGGAGGTGCGGCTTCTCGTGGCCAGGGCGGCGAGGGCGGAGCTGAGGGCCTCTGGGGAAGGCTGCTCCCAGAGTGGGGGGAAGGGCTCTCGACTTGGAGCTTCTCGGAGTGTCGGGATGCCTCGCCGAGGGCATCCCCGAACCCCCGAAGGATTGGCAGGTCCGGGAGAAGGGTCTCGTGCGCCTGGGCTGACCTGGGGGATCTCGCCAATCTACACGTGGCCCGGACTGCTCTAGGGCCCCTCAGGCCTCGGCCCAGAGCCGGGGCTGCGGGGGGGATCCCCCGAGGCGCATGTTTTCCACAGCGCGTTATGTTTGGAGTCGGCCCCGCGCCGCCTGTCGCCATGGAAACAAAACAGGGGCGGTGGCGGCCGCCGGAGCAAAGCCCGGCTAGGGCCTGGGTGGGGGGAGGGGAGGTGGGGCTCGCGGGCTGTTGCCTTGGTAACGGAACTGGGGCGCCCCTCCTCTTCATCCGGGTCATGGCCTGTCAGCCAGTACCCCGGGTGTTCCCAGTCTGGCCCCCTTTCCCTGGTCTACAGCTGTCTCTGGTGTCCCTTTCCTCTTTCCTAATTTCTTCAACCTCACTGACTACTGTTAATACACTTTCTCTCCAGTTCCCATTGGACGCTTCCAGGTTTTCCTAGGAGTGAGGGAAATGGGGGTACAGGCACATGTCAGAGGACCCTCACCCTCATGTCAGAGCAGCACACTTCATGCCCCGTGGGCATCCCTTGGGCACTGTAGCGAGCTAGTCTCCACCAGTCTCTTGGCTTGCTTTCATGTCAGCTGTGGAATGCCCGCTGTCGGATACCGTCCTGCCAGGGGTTTCTGCCTTCCCCAACTGTGACTTCCAGAAAACAGTAGCATTGGTAGTGGCCCCCAACAACGAAGTGCCAGGAGAGAGGGAGGCAGCAATAAGGATGAGAGGACCATCAGGGAGAGGCAGGAGGCAGGGAGGCCTCCAGGGCTCTTCCCAATTGCCCAGGTTCCTGGAGCTGGGGATGCCTCCAGGGTGATTGGCAGCTCTTTGTTTCAGCCCCCCCTCACCCGCCTGCTGCCCCCCCTTCAACTCCCCCTTCCAGCAGTCCCTCCCCCCCACCCCCCCTGCTCCGCCTAGCCTTTTCCCCTCCCAGACGCCTGCTTGCCAGGGATAGTGAGCCGGCTGAGCGGCATGGAGACACAGGAACTTCGGGGGGCCCTGGCTCTTCTCCTCCTTTGCACTTTCGCATCTGCCAGTCAGGACCTGCAGGGTAAGCCTGTTCCCATCCTCTTCGATCTTCTGCTTCCTCCCCATTTACCCCCAGCCTAGTAGCAGGGAACATGTGGGCAAGGGGAGAAGGGGAGAGTCCTGAAATTGAGCCAGAGCAAAGAAATGGTGCATTTTGGCCCTGTGGGAAGGAGTGAACACCAGAGGGTGGTAGGTGAGTGGGAACTGGCCAGAGTCAGCATGAGGCCAGGGCAGGAGACTCAGGAACTGGATGCTAGGGCTGCCTGGCTGGGTCACTGAGCATCTCCAGGAACCCCAGGATCTGAGAGAGCAGTGTGAAGTTAGGTGCACTGTGTGGTCCCCTCAGCTTCTTAGTCCCCTAGGCTGCTGGCTGCCTAAGGGCAGGGTGGGGGTTGGGACTGAGAGGTCTGGGCTGTCCCCGAAGTCTGGTGGTGGGATGGGCCTGTGGGTGTGGGAGAGGTAGCTGAAGCAGATGACACAGGCACAGATTCTTTACTGGCTGGAAGGGAAACCACAGATTGGCCAGAACACAGGAGGCAAAGGAGGTGGGTCCTACATTCCCGAGGGGAGAGCCAGACAGTGGGAGGGTCGAAGCCGTCAGTGGGCAGCTGTTTTCATCCTAAGTGAGTGTGCTGAGCCCCCAGGATGGGAGGAGGGGCGTTGGGGTGTAGAAAGAGCCAAAGCCAACAGGGTAAGAGAAACTGCTTTCCAATTTTTGTGCTGTGGGCACCAGGTGCTACTCCTGCCTGGAATGAGCAGTGACTCCCTTGCGCCTCCTGGTGGACACATCTCAACTTTGCGGAGCTGTTTTTGTGTTTCCATATGAGCCTCAGGCCTGTGGATTCTAAGAGGGTGGCAGTAGGCAGTGCTGAGGAGAAGGAAGGCATAATACTTTGTCCTCTGATAGCAGCAAGGGTTGAATTTTGAGTTGACTAACACTATGGTGGTGGGGGTGGATGGAGTGATAAAGGATGCCCCACCCCTGAGGGCTCAGGGACTTGGGAAGTCCTTAGCATCGAACCCCATTCTCTGACCTTGATAATCCCTGCTTGGCTAGTGATTGACCTGCTGACTGTGGGTGAGTCCCGGCAGATGGTAGCTGTGGCAGAAAAGATCCGGACAGCCCTGCTCACTGCTGGGGACATCTACCTCTTATCCACCTTCCGTCTGCCTCCTAAGCAGGGTGGTGTCCTCTTTGGCCTCTACTCTCGCCAAGACAACACACGATGGCTGGAGGCCTCTGTTGTGGGCAAGATAAACAAAGGTGACTGGTGGGCATCTCCTTTCCTGCAGCAGTGACCCCTTTGAGCACTCTCCCTTATCCCCATTCCCACATCCCTCTTAATTTTCCTTGGGCTTCACTGGGGACCATGGACCTATCAGGCTGTGCCCAGGCACCAGGGCCACCTGGTATGGGGTGCTTAGGAGGTGCGCAGAAGGCCAGGTACCCAAACAATAGGGTGAGGCCTAGTATTTGTAGGGATGGGATGTTGTACTTGGGGTGACTGCGGGGAGGGCGAAGGCATGACACTGTGCCCCAGCAGCGGTATAGAGAGGTCCCTTACATCCCTGGGACAGTTCAGTGGGTATGGAACCAGCTTCTACCTCTGAGAGGATAGAGTGATCTGATGCAACTGAAGACTAAGAAAGTCCTAGTCTTTGAACCAATTTAAAAAACATATGTACGTATTACATACAAGGTGAGAAATACATAGCTGAGTAAGAGATAATGGCCCTAGAGATGTGGCATCCAGAAGAGTTGATCCAAGGCTCAACTGGGAGATGGGATGGGGGACAGTGCCCATACTGACCTCCCCTCCTGGGCAGTGCTGGTGCGGTACCAGCGGGAGGATGGCAAAATCCATGCAGTGAACCTACAGCAAGCAGGCCTGGCCGATGGGCGCACACACACGGCTCTTCTGCGACTCCAAGGCCCATCCCGCCCCAGCCCTGCCCTGCAGCTCTATGTGGACTGCAAACTGGGCGATCAGCATTCTGGTCTTCCAGCATTGGCCCCCATTCCTCCAGCGGAGGTCGATGCGCTGGAGATTAGGACTGGACAGAAGGCTTACTTGAGGATGCAGGTAAGCAGGAAGGGAGGACCCTGGAGTTTCTGTGGAGAGTTAGTACCAGTGTGAGGAGTTGGTAGATCCTTCTACCCTATTCTACTTCTATCACCTCAGGGCTTCGTGGAGTCTATGAAAATGATTCTAGGCGGGTCCATGGCCCGGGTCGGAGCCCTGAGTGAGTGTCCGTTCCAGGGAGAAGAGTCCATCCACAGTGCAGGTAACACAGAGACTTCTGTTAGCTGACATCCTGGACCCCAGATCACATTTTCTGTGGTCTTTGGTGACTCACATCCTTTTGACCTCCCCCTTAACACTCATTCCTTTGATTCATCCATTCCTGGGGCTCTGACCCTGTTACCCCAAATCTCCTTCACCTCTGACTCTTATCTCCAAATAAAGCCATACACCCGGCCCGTGTGGCTTAGTGGTTGAGCGTCAACTCATGCACCAATAGGTCGCTGGTTTGATTCCCAGTCAGGGCACATGCCCAGGTTGTGGGCCAAATCCCCAATGTGGGGCATGCAGGAGGCAACCAGTCGATGTTCTCTCTCATTGATGTTTCTTTTTTTTTTTTAATCCTCACCCGAGGACATTTTTCCATATTTTGTTCAGATAGAGTGGGAGGGAGGGAGAGAGAGAGAGAGAAACATCGACATGAAAGGGACACATCGAGTGGTTGCCACCCGCATGACCCAACCAGGGCCGGGGACAAACTGCAACCGAGGTAAGTGCCCTTGGCCGGAATTGAACCTGTGACTCATTGGTCCTCGGACCATTGCTCTCACCACCAAGCAAAACTGCTTGGGTCTTTTTTTTTAGCTCCTATTGATAGCTGTCACCTACCAGCAATTTCTCTGAGCACTGCCCATCTGCCTGGTCTTTCTGACAAGGATGTTCAGAGGCTCTTGAAATACCCACTTCTCCCAGATATTTTAAAGAAAGAGCTCTTGAGGTAGAGGCTTGGGAAGGAGGAAATGGAATGTACTGTGGCCCTGGCCCTGCTTTAGATGTTCTCACTTGGATCCCTTCTGCCACTACCATGCCTGGGAATCAGAGGGATATGGGTTTTGACTGAGGCAACTCTCTTAGAGGGTCCCTCACCCTGTGGAAAGAACTAGTGTTGCATACCTGTCACCCCTGACCTCCTACTATCTAACACCCTATATCTTTATTCCAAGGTTCCAGCTCTTTGTTTCTATCCATCTTCCTTCTTCTTCATCAGCCAGCCCCTCTTCACATCTTTACCCTCTGATTGTGTTTTCTTCTCTCTAGTGACCAACGCACTCCACTCCATCCTAGGTGAGTAGGCCATGATGAGGTGGAAGGGGTACGAGGTAGGGAGGAGGTCCCAGGCTGTGGCAGCAGCCTGAGACCAAGTCCTCTTCAGCCAAGAATAGGGTGGAGTTTAAGGGTGTTGAATAGCAGTGGCAGGAGCTGGCTTACAAAGAGGGACCAGGGCTGGTGTCCCAGTTCTGAGCCTCTGCACTCTGGGCTCTGACAGGGGAGCAAACAAAGGCACTGGTCACCCAACTCACCCTCTTCAACCAGATTCTGGTGGAGCTTCGGGATGATATCCGAGACCAGGTTGGAATATGTCGGCAAAGGGGAACAGACTCTGGGGTGAGGTGGCAAATGCTGAGAACTGACTCTTCCCCATCCTTACGTCTACCAGGTGAAGGAAATGTCCCTGATCCGAAACACCATCATGGAGTGTCAGGTGTGCGGTGAGTGGGAGAGCAGGGGAGGGCTCCAGGTGGGGTAAATGTTGGTCTGAAGCAGAGGAACCTGGGGTTTAGAGGCCCATGGCTTGGGCCTCCAATTCCAGTGATTTGAATGGTGACCTCTTGGTGCCTGTGACTGTGTCCTCCTGCCCTCAGGCTTCCACGAACAACGTTCCCACTGCAGCCCCAACCCTTGTTTCCAAGGCGTGGATTGCATGGAAGTATACGAGTACCCTGGCTACCGCTGTGGGCCCTGCCCTCCTGGCCTGCAGGGCAATGGCACCCACTGTACTGACATCAATGAGGTGGGGAAGGGCAGAATCTGGACGGGCACAGAAA